TTAGCACGATTCTGAACCTAGTTTTCTAAGCGAGCAAACTATGATTCTGGATCCAGTTTTCTAAAACTTAGCAAACCTTTTGAATCCAGATGTCTATGGAGATTCTCAGTCATCCAGGTCATGGTTGTCCCAAAGGTGCTTTTTCAAGAGGCAACTGGACTTTCTGGTTTTTCTTTGAAGACCTTTCGCTTCTCATCCAAGAAGCTTCTTCAACTCTGGTCCAAAGGGCATAGCTAAATGTCTATGGAGATTCTCAGTCATCCAGGTCATGTTCCAAAGCTGCTTTTTCAAGAGGCGACTGGACTTTCTGGTTTTTCTTTGAAGACCTTTCACTTCTCATCCTAGAAGCTACCAGACCTGAAGAAGCTTCTTGGATGAGAAGCGAAACGTCTTCAAAGAAAAACCAGAAAGTCCAGTTGCCTCTTGGAAAAAAAAGCACCTTTGGGACAACCTTGGACCCAGAGTTGTAGACTGTATTTCATACTTGCTGTACCCCCGAGAGCTTTTATGTGGTGTTTAATCCAGGGGTCTTCAAACTTGGCAGCTTTAAGACTTGTGGACTTCAACTCCCAGAATTCTCCGGCCAGCATAGGGGTTGGTTGCCATGATGTAAAAAAGATGTGGAGACACTAGAAAGAGTGCAGAGAAGAGCAACCAAGATGATTAGGGGAACTGGAGGCTAAAACATATGAAGAACGGTTGCAGGAACTGGGTATATTTAGTTTAATGAAAAGAACGACTAGGGGAGACAGGATAGCAGTGTTCCAATATCTCAGGGGCTGCCCCAAAGAAGAGGGAGTCAAGCTATTCTCCAAAGCACCTGAGGGCAGGACAAGAAGCAAAGGGGGAAAACTAATCAAGGAGAGAAGCAACTTAGAACTAAGGAGAAACTTCCTAACAGTGAGAACAATGAATCAGTGGAACAACTTGCCTCCAGAAGTTATAAATGCTCCAACACTGGAAGTTTTTAAGATGTTGGATAATCACTTGTCTGAAGTGGTGTAGGGTTTCCTGCCTAAGCAGGAGGTTGGACTAGAAGACCTCCAAGGTCCCTTCCAACTCTGTTATTCTATTCTATTCTACTGCAGTTCTTAAGTGAGTCATCTGGTTGTTAAGCGAATCTGGCTTCCCCCCATTGCCTTGACTTGTCAGAGGCCAGCGGAGAAGGTTGCAAATGGCCATCACATGACCCTGGGACACGGCAATCGTTGTTAACTACATGCCAGATGCCAGGTCCCCCAATTTTTTAATCATGTGACCATCGGGATGCTGCAACGGTTGTAGGTTTAACGATCTTTATTAATTCAGCCACCGCCTTGAATAGAGAAGGTTCAAGCTTTACTTTCCTTGCCTCTTGGAACAGATTGGTTTTGTGCATTGTGTATTTGCGTGCCTGTAGTGCCTGTGTTGTACAGGAACCATATTTACATGCAAATAACATAGCTGAGCTACCCACGTATGGTGGGGGGGAAAACCCTGTAACACTGTGTACATTTTATTCGGCCATCTGGAGATAAAATATTTTAGGAATCTCACAGATGCTCACATAGTCTGCATTTATGATATGGGAAGGGCAAAGGAAATATTTTAGGAAGGTTCCATTTAAAGAACATTTCGTGTCCTTTCTATAATTATAGTCTCAGTGCTTGTATCGATAATAGCCCTGAATCTCTTCTGCTCTTTCTGATCCATGGATCTGAAGTTCACACAGATGCAGAGTTGAAATATATTGCCCCCCTCCCCACAAGTGGTCATGTTAAAAAAAAAAAAAAAGCCTTAACTTGGTTACTCAATAATGTTCTGGCTTTGCACAATACATTAAAATATTAAATATTATCAAATAAGCCGGGTGTACCCACCAGGATAATTCAACCCTAGGAAAAAGTTCTGATGAATGTTAAAATGAAGCATGCTTAATATATTGTATAAATCCAGGTGGTAGGTGGCATCTGATCTATGTTGTGGTCCGCCAGCAGCCTGAGGAGCTGGCAGCAGAGTCGGACAGTGAGGAGGCTGGGGAGGAACATGGGCCAGTCCTGGAGTCTGGGGAAGGCTCAGGCGAGGGCTCTGCGTCAGAGGCAGAGAAAGGGCCATCTGGGAGGTACGTGCTGCCTCCGGAGCCTCCAGAGTCGGACCTCAGCGAGGCAGGGGAAAAGGAGGAGCCGGTTCCCAGTGCGCGCATGTGCATAGCTGCCAGAAGGCAAGAACAGTTCAAACAAAAGGGACGACTCGGGAGTAGGGCTTGGAGATGATTGGCCCCTCCCATAAGACTTAAAAGAGGCGCAAAGGCACGTGGGCCTTTGCAGGAAGCAACCTTGTTAATTCTGTGCGTTTTAAAGTCTGGAGCTCTGTTTGATTCTGGACTCCGTGTGACTTTGCTAAGTAAGTGGCAGCGTGTCAAGGGAAATAAAGGTGGGTGATTATCAGCCTTATCCCGAAGGACTGTTTACAACTATTTGGGACTCATCTGTGAATGAACAGACTCCACAGCTGTTAAATTAAACAGGTTTTTGGGACTACTCGTGTGTTTTACTGACTCAGGAGGCCTGTTGTGGCTCCGTTACCTGAGCCTGTGTTATCGGAGGGAGGAGGCTCCGAACATGAAGGAGAGGAGTTGGCCAGGCCTCCCTCTCCAGGACCCTCCTCTCTGGCAATGCCTCAGGTATCTCCTGAAGGAGAAGAGATTGGCCAGGAGCCAGGTATCTCCTCGCAGTCAGACAGTGACGGAGATAAGTCTTGGCTGGATCCACACCAGCATCGGAGAGACAGGCGCGGCAGCAGAAGAGAAGGCATGCCAGAGATTAGGCTGAGTCACTGGACCACACCCCACAGGGGATAAAAGGGGGTGAGGTGGCTATTCAGACTCTGTGACGGACAAAACAAACTACTAGCGAGTCACATTGTATCTTTGAAACAACGTTATCTGCCTTGGATTTAATACGGACTGGACTTGACAATTCTTGAACTGTGTGTATCTTGTTTGGGTTTATCTGTCGGAGGAACACCCCCTCCCTCTGCGTAAAGTTCTTGACAAGCAGCTACTGGGTTGCTGCCAAGCCTCTTATCGAAAGAATTTGTTGTCTGCCAGTTTTATTTAACCCCTGGCTATCTGCTTGTGTGCGTGTGTGAGACGGGGACAGAACAAGGCCTAGGTCAGAACAATCTAGCTATAGGTGAGCAAATCCAGTCTTCAGGTAATTAAAACAGCTGAAATTATAAGGCAGGTAACATCACCAGAGGTAGTGATGTTACCTAGTCAGGCAGTGATATGTTTGCAAGCCAACAACCAAGCTGAAGAGAGCATCAAGGAGCCCACAGTTCAACCCTGAGCTACACATATTCTCTTCTATTGAAATCTGGAAATTCACCTAGAACTGGAACATAAAACATCTCTTTACTTGGTACCACCAACCAGGACCTGCTTTATAATTTCACCTCCTCCGTTTTAGGGGAGGGGGGAAGGTGCGTCTTATGCTCCCAAAAATACGATAGTTTTGCAGATGCGCGACAAACACAGCTCATCGCAAATGCGTCTGGAGCACCAGATCATCAGGTGCCAACAACACTGAAAGACGCAAACGATTCTAAGGCACCTCAAATGAAGAGCGTTAGAGGATGCTGTTAAGTATATATGCTTTGAATTTTAAGCCCCCACTCCCCACTTTGTGGCTTTTGGTATTTTTCCCCAACAGGAAAATGGGACTCCCTGCCACTGAACACAAAGCAACAGTGTCTCCCAGTGACCAAAACGGGCACATCTTCGAAGCAACTTGGGTAGAGCAAAGAATCTGACAGCTTTCACTGGCTTTGCTTAGCCAATTCTCACCGCCTACTATTTGTCCTGCTTTTCTAAAAAAAAAATAAAGGGGCGGGGACACACCATATGGCTTCAAAAGCCTCTATACGCTTCCCCCTCAATTCTACACAAAGTTAGTCAAGTACCACCAGTCGGGTTTGCAATTCTGCCCATATATGGATTATTGGTGGCTTCTGATTGCCATGGAAAAAAGAGAGAGAGAGACTAAGCAGTGAAGGTTTTAAAAAAAAATAGCTCGGTTGCAATCGGTCGCTTTTTTTAAGCTGTCATTGGCTATTCCAAATTCTCAAATGATAAGGTACTGTATGTATGCCTTCTAATATGCATATGAGAAATGGCTGAAAGGCATGCCACTTTCGCACTTGCTTTCTGTCCATCCACATTTGTAGAAGAGGAGGCAGAGCTGGGGGGGTGGAGTTAAGTGCGTCATCAGTTTAGAGTTCTTGTATTGCCCACAAACAGTCGAAGTCCAACCTCTTTTGAATTCCATTGACCCTTATCTGGTGCCAATTTAGCTGTGAACTTCAGTTGACTAAATTCTTGTGTGCAGGCTTGAACATTAAATCTATATTATGAGATTATCTTTTTAGCTGATTGAATATGAAAAATGTTGAAATGAATATTTGGTATTATTTGGTAGCTGAATAGCAATTTATGTACCGCTTTACAGCCCTATCTAAGCAGTTTACAGAGTCAGCCTGTTGCCCCCAACAATCTGGGTTCTCATTTTACCCACCTTGGAAGGATGGAAGGCTGAGTCAACCTTGAGCCTGATGAATAGAATAAATGTTTTAGAATAGAGTAACAGAGTTGGAAGGGACCTTGGAGGTCTTCTAGTCCAACCCCCTGCTTAGGCAGGAAACCCTACACCACTTCAGAGAAATGGTTATCTAATTTCTTCTTTAAAAACTTCCAGTGTTGAAGCATGGAACTTCTGGAGGCAAGTTGTTCCATTGATTAATTCTAATTTGAACTGCCAAATTGCAGGCAGCCGGCAGGCAGCAGAAGTAGCCTGCAGTACTGCACTCTAACCACTGCGCCACTGCGGCTCATAGCTTTCTTCTCCTAGGTTATTAACAAGAATGAAATAAAGGTGACAGCGCTTATGTTAAATTATGAGATATATTACAAATGACTTGCAATTAATTCTCTCTTTCTCTTGTTGCCGTGTTGTGTTCTTTAGGTCCTGATCACTTTAGTTCCAAGAGTCTTGCTTTACAAGCCCAGAAGAAGATTTTGAGCAAGATGGCGAGCAAGACGATGGCCAACATGCTGATTGACGACACCAGCAGCGAAATTTTCGACGAGTTGTTCAAAGTGACCATAGAGCACATGAAAAACAAGAAAGAAGCCCACAAGGTTATGAAAGACTTGATCAAAGTCGCCATCAAGATCGGGATTCTCTACCGAAACAACCAGTTCAACGCGGACGAGATGGAGATCGTTGAGAAATTACGCAAGAAGCTGAATCAGGCGGCCATGACGTTGGTCAGTTTTTACGAAGTGGAGTTCACCTTTGACAAGAACGTTCTTTCGGGACTGTTGAACGAGTGCAAAGATCTCGTCCATGAACTTGTAGAGCGGCACCTGACAGCCAGGTCTCATGCGCGGATCAACCACGTTTTCGATCACTTTGCCGCTGTTGAATTCCTCACTGCTCTCTACAGCCTGGATGGAGAATGCCGTCCACACCTCAAAAAAATATGCGATGGGATCAACAAACTACTTGACGAGAAGGTCCTCTGAAATCCGGCTTTCCAAGACTTTTAAAGAACACATCAAATTAAGAGATGCAAACAGAGTTGGGAAAGGAATACAAAAGCCTGCTGCTTTTTTTTTAATAAAACACACACACACACCCCCGCCCGACAAAATATCTTAGTAACAAAATACGTTTATTCTGGAACATGTCACATTCCCTTTGTAAGGAAGCGAGATGTACTTCACCCCACAAATGAAAAGAAACTTTTTTGCACAGAGAACGGTTTACAATGCAAAAGAATTTGTGCGAATTGGAATGCAGTGCTGCAAAATAAACCTGAAGATCCATTTTGGAGAGCAAATAAAACGGCCCACATTTTCATTGCAGAAAAAAAAAAAATTAATGGAAGAGCGAACGCCAAGCTTTCTTTCAAAATAAAAACCACATGATCCAAATTGAAAAAATGAGGAAGAACTCTAGATGCAAGAAAATTCAAAGCACAAACAAGGTTGCTTTTAAAAGGGCATAGTGTTTCCACTGAAAACCATGGAAAAGTTGGTACGATTCTCTTAATGAAGGATAATCTCAAGACTCTAAAACAGAGGAGTTATTAAAGAAAGTTCATTCCGTAAAGTCCTCACACGTTGCTGCAGTTAGTACCAAAGCGAACGAAAATTCGGTTCTAGAGCAGAGAAAGTTTGAAACAGACACTGGGCCGCGCAGGCCCTTTCGGAGATCTTTTCATGCTCAGCTGCAACAAGGGATGTTCTGAAATGGAGCAGACATTCCAGGTATGGTGGATCTCCTTGCAGCCTTCCATCATCCCATCAGTGTTCCATCAGAAGGACTGTTCGCTTGGAGAGTCACTGGAGAAGAACGGACAATTGATGAGTGATAGACACCTTGGGTGGTATACAGGAGAATGAAAGGGAGGCCAGAGAGAACAGCAGATGGCCATCTGTGAAAGAAATGGGCCAAGCCAAACTACATCCACGCTGTACCAAAAATATACTTGGTAATGCCCATATTGACCCAAGGAACCAACACAAGGATTTTTTTTTTTAGCATCTCCTTGGAGATATACCGTATTTTTTGGACTATAAGACACACCTGAATTTAGAAAAGGAAAACAACAAAAAAAGGTTTTGGCCTATCATTTTTTGGCCCTTTTCCAATCTTTTTTCAGCCGGTTTCCGGGGCTTTTTTCGGCCTGTTTTCAAGGCTTTTTGGCCTGTTTTTGAGGTTTTTTATGGCCCATTTTGGGAGCTTTTTCGGGCCATTTTCGAGGCTTTTTCGGCCCATTTTTTATGCTTCTTTCGGTCCATTTTTTCAAAAAAAAAAAACCGGGCCAAAAAAAGCCTCAAAAATGGGCTGAAAAAAGCCCCGAACACGGGCTAAAAAAGCCCCGTAAATGGGCCAAAAAAGCCTCAAAAATGGGCTGAAAAAAGCCCCAAAACGGGCCAATAAAGCCACCAACATGGGCCAAAAAAAGCCTCAAAAACAGGCCAAAAAGCCTTGAAAACAGTGGCCCAAAATGGGCCACAAAAAGGCCTGAAAAAGGCCCGAAAAAAGGCCTGAAAAAGGCCCGAAAAAAGGACGTGCAGAGGCCAAAAAATGACTGGCAGGCGGGCCGGTCTTCGGCAATATTCAGTCTATAAGACGCACAGACATTTTTGCCTTCTTTTGGGAGACAAAAAAAGTGCATCTCATAGTCCGAAAAATACGGTAGTTGCTTAAGTTTGCCTATTTTTTATAACCTTCCCCTCCCCAAAAGTATTATCATTCTGGTCGGATGGCTTATGTGATTCACAATTTCCATTCAGGAAGCTGACACAACTGTATAGCAAAATGTTTAGTCAAGAGCCGATAGCAAATTATTTCACAGCATCAAAAGAACGGCGGTCCCTTGTTCGATAGGACAACATACCTAAGGATTTTTTTAATCTTGTTGATGACTCCCAAAGTCAATCTATTTAAGCTCAGTGAGTGGGTCTTGCCTGCAAATATGTTGCTAGCAAAAGAAAATGCAACAGAGAATTTGCAGAGTAGCCATGGCGAGTTAAGCCGAGAAGGCCATGCCACAGGCAAGAGAATATACAGTATTTGCTTGTTTTCTGGTAAATACTTGTAATTGCATGAAAGCAGGTGTGAATATTTTAATTGCATGAAGTGCAAGTTCGTACAATTACATTGTTCATGACAGCGAATACTGTAATTGCATGAAAAGCAATCTATTTTAACTGCTTCATTTTACAGAAAGTGACTTAACGGGAGTTAAATCAGGTTGCGTCCCTGTTCTTGGCAAACCATGTTTTTGCATAATGCTTGCTTAATCATCTGTGCCAATGTAGCCATTAGACCCGACACCGCCCCCCCAGGACAAAAGATGGCTTAAACACAATTTAAGAAACCAGATTGAAAACTGAGTCTAATTCTGCCTCCTTTCAGAGTTTGTCTTTATCAAATAGAAAATTAGCACCAAATCTTTTTTGAATGTACAAGCATCTTCTCTGGAAACTGTCCGGTTATTCATATCTACTAAATGTTGAGCAAAACTCTTTTTAAGTTACTCACTTGTGGCCAGACTCATCCAATTACTTTCAGGCAGGCAGGCGTGTTACCTCTTGCACATATTGGTGTTCAGACTTGGGACTATTTTTTTAAGGAGTTAAATGTCTTGCCATTTATATTTATATGAGACTTGAGTAGCCTTAAACATACGGAGTATTTATGTATTTCCCAGACTGGTTCTACACTGTATGTTCAATGTGTTTACTTTTATATTGGGGTGGGGTTACCATGTAAAACCATTGGTTCCACACTATCTATGGTGTTTGAGTCAGACATAAGTGTTTCCTTACCATAAATTATACATTAAATGATTTGTGATGAAAAGGTTTCCTCTCCTCTGGGATTCTATTTATTGTTGTGGCCCGCCAACAGCCAGTGGAGCTGGCAGCAGATTTGGACAATGAGGAGGTTGGGGAGGAAGATGGGCGAGGCCTGGAGTCTGGGGAAGACTCGGATGAGAGCTCTGCGTCTGAGGCAGAGAGGGGGCCAGGGACGGATGCCAGTTATCAGCTGGCTTCGGAGTCAGACATCAGTGAGGCAGACGAACAGCTGGAGCCTGTTCCCGGTGTGCTCATGCACAGTTGCCAGACGAAGGGAACAGCTAAAGAACAAGGGTCGACTTGGGAGTAAGGCCACAGGTGGACGATGAATGGCCCTTGCCAGAAGAAATAAAAGAGGAGCGAAAGGGGAGTCGAGTTTGCAGGAGACAAATTAGTTCACCTAATTGGTTTGTGACTCTCAGAGACTCCTTGCCAAGTTTTGAAGATATTGGCCTGGCAGCTCTCCAAGCCAGATAAGGTCCGTGACTGGAAATTCTCCCTTGAAAGACTTTGCTGAAGGTGAATGAGAGGAATTCACAGTAACTTAATAAAAGGGTTTTTTTTGTCAGGACAAGGAGTCTGCTTCATGCTCTTGGGAAGCCTAGGTCAGAACATTTATTGCTATTGTAACTTTAATCCCTCTCGCTCATGTCTATCTTGGTGCCTTCCAGAAACAATGGGGACCGTGACTACAAGAACCTTTGGCTATGTGACTTCTGGTAAGGAGTTCTTGCGGGTTTTACTCCGCTAGGTATAGCCAACTTTAGGGCGGGTTCATCTCAGTTTCCAGGCCTTTGAGCCAACACTGTCTGAAGACGTTTCCGTGGTCACATCACACCGCAGCGCAATGTGTGGTGAAACACAGACCACTGTTATCTTCCTACCGAAGTGTACCTATTTATCTACTTGTACTTAATAACATGCTTTTGAATTGCTAGGTTGGCAGGAGCTGAGGTAAATGACAGGAATTCACTCCATCACACGCTGTTAGGCCTCAAACTGCTGGAGCACAGACCTTCTCCGATGCCTTTGAAGCCTCTGAGCCACCACGCCTCCATGTGGTTTTGGGACATCTGGAGAAATTATTCGGTTTATGGTTAGAATGATATAGGATAGAGCATGGTATTTTATCCAAGGACAAAAATCCTCGCTCTGCCACACCTAGTCACTGTGAATGATATAATTAATAAGACGGTGACACTTTTGTTTTCCAAACTGGGATATTTTGATTATTCCTTATGGCCCTCTTCAGTAGATACAGGTACTGCAAGTTTAAACCGGTTGAGTAGCATACCTGTATTTGAATACCTGGGGTTAAAGTGATCATTGCAACATGCCTAGATTTTGCATTACACAATAGTCCTTATAAAAGGGTCCAGTGACCAACGCACAACAATTTGGTGCAGCAGAATAATTTATTACATTGCAATTATTTTAAGTTAGGTGGCAAAAAGAACAGTAAGAAACCACTTCTGCAGACAGTTTGAAAATAAAAAGGAAGTAGAGAGAGTACAATTAAGAAAAACCCAGTCAATCTCACCAAGATTTGTTCAGTTAAGATCCACATATTTGGCAGAGAAGGACAGTAAACATTTGGGGGGGAAAACAGACAACAGGCTCTGCAGTGTACAGATGGATAAATCTTTGTATCGGGAAATGGGTAGGAAGGTTCTCAGCCTTCAAATATGCCTCAACTATAACTCCACAAGTTATAGTGGAGAATTCTGGGATGTGTAGTTGAACAAGACGTGGAAGGCCAGAAGCTTAAAACCTCATTTGATGACAATGGTTAAAAACTGCATAGACTTGAAATTATAGCTTTCCTAAACTGTTATAGGATAAATCCTATAATATACCATTAACAGTCATAGAGAAACAGTATTTCGAATGTATTCATTCTTCCAACCCCTAAATTCCTGTTTTTAATCCATAAGGCATATATAGTAAACATGATCATACAACAGTCTCTGTAGATAATTTAAAACAGGGGTCTCCAACTTCGGCCATTTTAAGATTTGTGGACTTCAACACCCGGAATTCCCCGCCCATGCTGGCTGGAGAATTCTTAAATTCACCAAGGTTGGAGACCTCCGATTTAATACATTTCTTTAGTGCATTTTAAAGAATTCCTTTATGACAACACTGAAAAATCAGGAGAAAAAAAAAAACCCTACCAAAATTCAATCCCTTTGTTAGTTAATCGCATTCTACTTTCTTAAAGTGAGAAGATTGAAAGAGTGGATGTGCTGCAGTCAGAATTGCGTGCAGTTCATAAAGGATATTCTCTATTTTCTCTCCCGGCGCCTTGCAAACTACTTAGCAACACGGTCTTCTTCGATCCATTAACTACACCTACATATCCATATCCATAATTGTATGTTTTTCAGAACAAGCTACCTTACCAGGACTAAGAAATGGTAAGCAAAAGAAGTTAACGGCATCAGCTAAGAAAAAAAATAAACTATATACCTAGTGTTCCTCAACTTTTGCAACTTGGAAGATGTACGGACTTCAACTCCCAGAATTCCCCCGCTAGCAAAGTGTAATTAAAAGGCCACAAAATGATGGCATATAAATTAATCATAATTTTATATTACTGATCAGTCGCTCTCTCTCTCTCTCTCTCTCTCTCTCAGCCAAACCCACCTCACAAGGTTATTCATGAGGAGAAAACAGAAGGAGGAAGGAGTATTAAATATGTTTGCCACCTTGAGTTATTTATTTAAAAAAAAAATCATGGGGTCCTTCCAAGGTCCTTTTTTTTAAATATAAAAGTAAGTATATTTATACATTTTCACATGGCCATAGATAGCGGGAAGATGAGGAAGAACAGCTCACCAAGCCAGAAGATCTGGAAGTTGATGCGAAAACTGTAGAAACTGTATTGCGATACCTAGAATCACACGGCCCATCTTGAGCTATGTTGACAAAAAGGTACTTCCTTGATCACACCCACAAAAACGCATCATCCTACTATATATCCATACCATAAAAACATTGAATACTGACTCCCCAATTCTGATGACTCTGATTGTTGAACTACAATCAACGGTGACCGGTGCCAAGTCAAAAACTTTTCCACGGTGCCATGACCCAGATATGATGCATTGATGGGGCCATCATGGATAAACTTACAAACTGAAGATTATCCCTGCATCTTCGTGATCCGCAGGTTGTTTGTATAAGTGCTTGAGAAACCACCTCAAAAACTTCAGCAAAATAAGCAGAAGGCAGTTCTCTGCACTAGGGAGCGTAATGACTGAGTAATTCAAGTAACTGATCCTACGAATAAATCCCATGAGTTATACAAATACATTAATAGAAAATATGAGCCTTGCATAACATGCCTCAATTCAGCTACCCGTACCTTACTGCCTTGTCAATGTCAGGCAAGCATCCTTGATGGGTTTTTCCCCCTCCCACTGGAAGGAGAGCCACACTGATGCCAAGATACATCTTTGCTCCATGGAGAACAGAAGTTGGGTTTGGTAAACTCCTACTCAGAACCACACCCTTTGTTCATACCAGTCCAAAAAAGGAGTCTGTGTGGTTTTTCAGGATTCTTCCATCACCTTCTGACATTGATAAAGTAAACAGTCTGGTAGAGCAGAGCAAGGCGATCTGAACCACAAGGCCAATGTCCCAGCATGGAGCCGGCAGTGGAGAAGACACGGGATTGACGGAAGCAGTCGACAAGCGGCTATTCCTTCATTTCCTAAAGAAGGCAGTTTGGAAAGTTCTTAATATCCGGGTTTCAGGCGCAAAGGATCAGGACCATACATGAAATTACAGTTCATCGCTTGAGATTTATCGCTTGGGCCTATACATTTTATGGATTTGGGGTTTTAAATTGGGTAGCCAGTGATTTAATTCTTTTTAATTGTCTTAACTTTTGCATTTGTATGCTTTTTAATTTTTGGCTGTTCACCGTCCTGAGTCCCTTCTGGGAGAAGGGCGGTATACAAATTAAAATAATAATAATAATAATAATAATAATAATAATAATAATAATAATAATAGTAATAGTAATAATAGTAATAATAGTAATAATAGTAATAATAGTAATAATAGTAATAATAATATACAAGAATCTAATCCACTAAAAGTTCAATACTGCACTGGCGCTAGATAAGGGTTAACAGAATTCAAGAAGGGTTAGACTTAAAACCATTTGTGACCACATAACAACTCTAAGCTGATGATGTGCTTAACTCCGCCCGCCCCAGCTATGCTTGCTCTTCTCCTACACCAGGTCCTTTTATGGCACAATCACTGCAACGCATGTCCCAGATTGCCTACGATCCACAGTGGTGGGATTCAAATAATTTAACAACACGTTCTCTGCCCTAATGACTGGCTGGGTGGGCATGGCTATGGTGGGCGTGGCCAGGGGTGACAGGCAGCATTTGGCCTCCTGCACTCCCATGGGAGCTCCCCTCCCCCCGTGCCCCGTTTTGGGCCTAGTAGGCCTCCCTACACCCTCCTGAGGTGAAAACGGGCCTGGGAAGCCTCCCTGAAGCCTCCTGGGAAGCGAAAACGGGCCTAGGAAGCCTCCCTGCACTTACCTGGAAGCCAAAATGGGGCACGTGGGGACTCCTGAAGGGACGGGGACGGAAGAGACGGGGCCAGCCAGCAATTTAACTACTGATTCGCCGGAACTGGCTGAATCTCACCACTGCCTACGGGAATTTCCAATAACTTTCTGCCTCAAAGGTGTGGGTGGGTGGAAATTGTGTGATTTTTGTTGTTTTGTTTTTTGGATCCTAAGCTACAGTATGACGCTTTATGAATACTGCTATCTGAGGCTGGATTAAAATACTCATTTCCCAAAACACCCTTTTCTTTTCTCCAATGACTGAGGGGAAACAGCTGGATCTGATTCCTCTTCAACTGTCACTCCCTGAGGTTTCAATTTGGATGCAGAAAGAGACACACAATTATTGAGCATTTTCCCAACACTGAGAATTTGGGGGAAGTGGAAAATAACTACTGACTTCTTGTCTGTATCTCCATGTTCTTGAAACTCTGAAAGGGGGTCCAAATTTTTGAGAAAAACCCGAATGGTTTCTAATTACTTCAGAGGCGTAGCTTCACCTCAGCCAAGAGGCAAATCATTCCAATTTTGGAAAAATGTGGTTTAACCTACTGGCACTAACCCAGAACTTCAGGATCATATATGTCATGAATCTGAAACAATTTTAAGTTACATACCTATGATATCAACAATATGTAGCTTCAGCTTTTGCTGAAAGATGTCTAGCATCAAGGACAGAGTTCCTTGAGATGATGCCACCTTCAGATTTTGTCTGACTTCGTTTGAAATGGAGAGCCACAGTTTTCCGTATTCATCCGTGCTCATCTTCATTGGTCTACAAACAGGATTGTCGATAGAAATGAAGAAAAGGAAAAAAAAGTGTACAAAAAGGAAAAATTGCTCAATTAAATTTAATATTTAACATGGATGGTCATTTCAAAAAATCCTTTCTTAGTGAGCACCTAGAAGCCAAAACATGCCAAATTTCAAGTTTGTAGGCTTTACCGTTCTGGAGATTTCATGATGAGTGAGTGATATTTGGCTTTTATATATATATATATAGATATATATCGGTTTTTTGTTGTTGTTAGGGTTGAATGTATGTTTTTAATTTGTTTCATTTTGTTTGTTTTACTGCTTTATGTTTTATTTTCTATGATAAAACAATTTTTTTTTAAAAATGAAGAAAAGAAAAAATAAGTCTAAAGGAATGGGCAGCACCAACCATTTTACTTGATTTAATTCATCTACTATGCATTTTTAAAACTTTTCCTGAAAGATCACCTTCCCATCCATTGGTCATGGATGGAGATGCAGCCAAGACAGTCAAGCTAAGAAAGATTTCATGAAAAGCAGACGTTGGAGTAATCGTTCAAATGAGCTCAGATTGAAATCCCCCCCCCCCCCCCACTACACTACAAATATACTTTGCTGTTGAAGTAGCAAAAATATATAAGCTTGTTGCTTACAAGTTGCATGTCTGATCTTGGTACGTCCCTGTTTATCTAACAATTTTGGAAGCATTCAGCGTTTTCCAATACTAAAAAACCTAGGAGAAGGAGGGAGAGGAGGAGGAGGAGGAGAAGCAGAGAAGGAAACCCAACTGTGGGAGAGAAGCTTACCAAATAATTAGTTTACATTTCATATGTACTAAGAAAATTATTTTATATAGTTACCTAATAAAATCCAACAGCTCTAAAGAGATAGAAAATCTGAGACAGACGTCCAATTCTAGCGGATAACTGATGCAACCGAATATTTTTCCTGAAGAGCAGGGCTTCTCCATCTCTACATACATCTGGAAGCTTTCTATATTTTTACTTTCTATCACAGCAAGTTGGCAGCCAAGATTTTCTACCATCTCCAATATAAAAGAAGGGGGGAGGGGAAAAACACGGGTTAAAGATGCTTTGTTGAATCAAGCCAGTACGATAGCAGAACAAGCCAGAAGGGTGCTAAAATGTTTACCTTAAAATGTTCAGAGTGTTGGAATTCCAGGCTCACATCTTTCAGAACGGAAGGGCTTTTATTGGCGAGAAATAAAAAAATCAGAAGATTGTCCTCTTCCCAGACCTTAGAAAAGTATACAAGCAGGGATTCGTTGCCGCAGAGTTCTGAAATGTCCGAATGAAGATGTTGGGCTGCTTCTTCTGGGAGACAAGGCGTGGGCGAACGTTGCTTCTGAACTAGAGTGGGAGAACTTGGGGAAGGATGAAAAATATCCACGTGATCATGGGTGAATAAAGAAGATGGTGAAAATTGATGATCCAAGGACTTTTCATTCAACCCACCTTCCGGCAACGAATGGGAACGATCGAGCATCGTCTTGGATTCAGGCATTTCAGGAGAATGTAGGGAAGCTTTCCTGAACTTGAGGTGTCCGTTGTTTACAAAAAGGTCCTTCTCTCCGGTTAACCCTTCCTGAAATAGGGAAGTGGTAGTAGGGGTGCTTTCCATAGGCGGGGAACTCTCATTAGGGAGGACTTCGTTCATTTTCGATTTCCGTGTAAACTTCTGAGCTGCGGGATCTGCTTTCCCCATCTTAGAAAGACGGGAAAGAAGCGGGACAGGAAAACAGGATTGAAATGAAAGCAGAAGTCTGAATGGGCCATCTCAGCCAAAGCAATAAAGGTTGGGAAAGGGAGGGGAGGGAAGGGAGGGAATCCTTAAAAAAATGTACCATGCATAGAAGGTAAAGGTAAAGGTTCTCCTCGCACATATGTGCTAGTCATTCCTGACTCTAGGGGGCGGTGCTCATCTCTGTTTCAAAGCCGAAAAGCCAGTGCTGTCCAAAGACGTCTCCGTGGTCATGTGGCCAGCATGACTAAATGCCAAAGGTGCACGGAACGCTGTTCCCTTCCCACCAAAGGAGGTCCCTATTTTTCTACTTGCATTACTACCAACCTGCCTTCCACTGAGGTCTTGTATACTGCATGAGTCAAAAAGAAGGCTGTGAAAATACCTACAGACCCCTCGCATCCTGGACATAAACTGTTTCAACTCCTACCCTCAAAACGACGCTATACAACACTGCACACCAGAACAACTAGACACAAGGACAGTTTTTCCCCCGAACGCCATCACTCTGCTAAACAAATAATTCCCTCAACACTGTCAAGCTAGTTACTAAGTCTGCATTACTATTAATCTTCTCATCGTTCCCACCCCCCATCTCCTCCCACTTATGACTATAACCTTGTTGCTGGTATCGTTACGATCTATATTGACAGTTTCCTAATATGATTTGATTGCTTATTTGTACCCTATGACTATCATTAAGTGTTGTACCTTATGATTCCTGACGAATGTATCTTTTCTTTTATGTACACTGAGAACATATGCACCAAGACAAATTCCTTGTGTGTCCAATCACACTTGACCAATAAAGAATTCTATTCTATTCTGTTCTGTTCTGTTCTGTTCTGTTCTGTTCTGTTCTGTTCTGTTCTATTCTATTCTATTCTATTCTATTATTCTATTTCTATTCTATTCTATTCTACTCTACTCTACCCTACCCTGCCCTACCCTACCCTACCTCACCCTACCCTACTCCTTTTTTTTATGTGCTTTCGAACTGCTAGGTTGGCAGAAGCTGGGACTAGGGATTCGAACCGCTGAACTGCCGACCTTTCGATCGACAAGCTCAGCGTCTTAGCCACTGAGCCATCACGTTCCTGGTACCATGCATATTGAGCTTCAATTTAGAGCCAGTTTGATCTAGGGGTTAAGGCGCTGGGCTAGAAAGTGAGAGACTGTGAGTTCAAGTCCTGCCTTAGCCGTGAAAGGCAGCTAGGTGACTTTGAAGTAATCACCAGGAGACTGTGAGTTCTACTTTCCCCTTAGGCATGAAACCGGCTGGATGATTTTTGGGCCAATCACCAGGAGACTTGAGAGTTCTAGTCCCACTTTAGCCATGAAAGCCAGCTGGGTGACTTTGAGCCAGTCCTTCTCTCTCAGTCCAGGATTGTTGTTGCGGGGAAAATAGAAGTAGGAAGGAGTGTTAGGCATGTTCATCGCCTTGAGTTATTTATAAAAGCAATAGAGGAAGAGAAGAGAAGAGAAGAGAAGAGAAGAGAAGAGAAGAGAAGAGAAGAGAAGAGAAGAGAAGAGAAGAGAAGGAGGGAGGAAGGAAGGAAGGAAGGAAGGAAGGAAGGAAGGAAGGAAGGAAGGAAGGAAGGAAGGAAGGAAGGAAGGAAAACGCAATTTAGCCATCTTACCAGATTAGTGCTATTTTGTGATCCTAGCCCGACAAAGAGTGCGGAAGCCAGCTGCTGCTTTTCTTTCGTCCCTTCTGCGTGATCCATCATTTCTTCCTTAGGCTGCAATGGGAAAGTGCTAGCCACCGTCTCTACTGATGGGCCGCCCTGAAGAGCAGCCTCTGTGGTTTTCTCTTCTTTTTCTTCTTGGTTTTTCTTCTGGGGAAGGTAACCTTCTTTGCTCCACAATTTCTTCACGCCTTCAAGCTTCAGACTGTTGTTCCTAAAGAGGGGATAGTGGTTAGAATCATGCACAAAGATGGAAAGCAGAGAAAATCCCTTTGGAAGGGGAAGTAATTTAAAAAATCTTAGATTGTGCAGAAATGAACAGATTAACTTTGATGATTAAAGAGAGAGAGGATATGGACTATTATAAGATATGGGGGAAATTTTATGATTGGTTAAAAAAGAGATATAAAGATTGTGATAATTAAATAAGGAGAATGTTATATTAAATGTATTGTAATTTGGGGGAAATATCGCAACAGAGAAATGGAAACTATCAAGGAGAAATGAAGATAGGAGGAGTAATAAAAAGAAGAAATAGTCACGGAAGAAAGACCGAGAAGACACACAGAAGGATTGATGTATTATGTGTTTGTTTGTTTAAAAAAATAAAAATAACTTTTATTAAAATAAAAAAAAAAAGAATCATAGAATCCTAGGGCTGTGGAAGGGGCCTTGGAGATCTTTTGGTCCAACAAGAAAACCTCTAATATTTTTATATTGTTGTAACCAAAATTGGATGCAGCATTCAAAGTATGTCCTGCTTGAGCAGAGGTTGGACTAGAAGACCTCTGAGGTCCCTTCCAGCTCTGTTATTCTGTTCTCTTCTGTTCAACTCCCTGCCCAAGGCAGGAGATCTTATACCATATTCCAGACAAAGGCTGTCCAATCTTATCTTGAAAACCTCCAGTGATGGAGAACTCACAAGTCCAGGAAGCAAGCTATCCTACTGATTAATCACTCTCACTATTCCCCCAAAGTTCCTATAGCTTCCATTCAGGGGTGAAATCTATTTACCTTCCCTACCGCTTCCGAAGTGCATGCGCGCGTCATCGTCACGTCCAATTTTAGACCCTCTGCACAGGTTACTTCCTGATTAAAACCAGGAAGTAACGATGTCCGGGCGGGTGGGCGGAGCCTCACGCTGCCACCGCTACCAGTTCACCAAACCACGCACCACCGCCGCTACCAGTTCGCCAGAACCTAAGCGAACCAGTAGCATTTCACCCCTGCTTCCATTCCCTCCACCATTTCAACCCTATAAGCAAGAACTGAGTCTAGTATAGATGTCCTTTTAGTGGTCTCTTCCACCTTTTGTATGGCAAAGTTGTCCGCAAGGCACATCAAGAACCTGTCGGATCTCCCACTCACTTCAGAATTTTAACATTACTGATAACGTTGCATTTTCCTTTGCCCTGACTTTGACAGAAGTTACTGTTTTGATGGCCAAACAGTTGTGTGGCAAGATATGAATGCCAGGCAGGCTGTGTTTTAGAAGTTCTTGCTGAAGAGACACGCATACTTACTCTTTCTGTCCTGTCTCAACACTATTATCCGAGCCCAGAGAAATTCCGGTTGGAGACTGTCTGCCGGCCATTCTTGATACAGGGAAGCTCTGAGAAAGGGATTCTCCGTAGGGTTCAAAATTCAAAGCTGACAAGAGAAACAACAATCATCCATGTCTGTCAAGCCAGAACATAATATCTACTGCAAAACCTTGGAAGAAATATTCAGTTAATAGCAATAGCAGTTAGACTTATATACTGCTTCACAGCGCAGCCCTCTCTAAGCAGTTTTACTGAGTCAGCCTCTTGCCCCCAACAATCTGAGTCCTCATTTTACCCACCTTGGAAGGATGGAAGGCTGAATCTGCTGCCTGCAATTTGGCAGTTCGAATCTCACCAGGCTCAAGGTTGACTCAGCCTTCCATCCTTCCAAGGTGGGTAAAACGAGGACCCAGATTATTGGGGGCAAGAGGCTGACTCTGTAAACCATTTAGAGAGGGCTGTAAAAGCATTGTGTGTCAGCACTCCAGTGCTGACATAAGGAGAAGAAGAAGACGCTTGACTTTTCACCTACTTATTTTCCCTGCAGATAATATCCCCTAGGAGATGGGTTGGGAGGGGGGACATTCCTGTGAGTTGAAGTAGTAGAGATGGGGAGAGTGACTTGGAAGATGGCCAATGAGACGCTGAGAATTGGGGAACGGAAAGGGAAGGGTTTGGGGTCAGAGGGTCAGGGTCGGCTACGATGAAGTCAGGGACAGATCGTTGTACTCAATAAATGAAAGATCTCATCAAAGACTATTGGTTTGGAAATGCAATTTATTTGAGATGACATCGTAACCTGACATTGTGAAGCGGTATATAAGTCTAAGTGCTATTGCTGTTAATTGTTCTCACTGTTAGAAAGCAATTAGGAATTAGTGAGGAAGTAATACACAATCTTCATTTCTTAGAAAGCAATCACCTTTTTCCTGGGACAATTTCTCTTCCTGTCTTTGGTGATGAGGTTTGTATGGCAATGCACCCCGGTTCAGTCCTTCGGCCACAAAGCCGTCTAAGAAAGACAAGGAAGCATCGACCTATACAGAATCAGACGTGAGTCGAAGATTATTATTCGGTTAGATGTTTTGAAAGGAAGCCTAATTCTGGATTTTTTTTTCTTTCTTCTCCAGCAGACTGGCAGACATGCCAGATCCCGCTGCTCATTCACAACATGCAGCTCGGGCAGCATCAAGGTACAACGAGGTCCTTGCAAGAAGCTAATTGGAATCAGATGTCCTCAACAAGAACTGGACTAAGTGCATCAGCCTGGACATTAGGTTTTATTATGATGGAAAACAATAATAACAATAATGTCCAGGACAGTCTGTATTGTTCCAAGTAAAATGGCTCGCCGGGATCTTTTACTTACTGAGCAAATTTTAAAAACCCAGCCCCTCCCTTACGACCACAATTAAGAAGTCTTTACGACCACAATGAAGCCCAAAATTGATGTTGTTAAGTGAGACATTTGTTAAGGGAATTTTACATGCCCCGTGTTTACAACTTTTCTTGCCTCGGTTGTTAAGTGAATCGGGCTTCCTCATTGACTTTGCTCGTCAGGTCGCAAAAGGGGATCACGTGACCTTGGGGCATAGCAACGGTCGTAAACATGAACCCGTTGCCAAGCTTCTGAATTTTGATCACATGGGGATGGCTGGAAAACTTGTAACGATGAAAAACAGGTCAAAAGACACTTGTTTCACTGCCATTGTAACTTTAAATGGTCACTAAACGAACTGTTGTATGTCGAGAACTAAATGTATTATTAGCCTTTCAACGTAGTCAGACAATACCGCCAGGACTATTAGCTCTGTCTTTGTTGTAAGGTTACAATAACAGACCTCTGCAAGTTTGAAAGGACATCTCTCCTCCCTTCTTGTATTTAAGTCTAAGAAACTAGGTGGGGTCCCTTCTGAGACTCTGCCACAGCCCAATTCCTGTCGTAGACTCTGTTTCCTTTTATCCAACCGCTGCCTGGTCTGCGGCTTTTCCTCCTGCCCCCCAAGGTCATTCTCACCAGTAGTGGGATTCAAAAAATTTTTACTACCAGTTCTGTGGACGTGGCTTGGTGGGCGTGGCAGGGGAAGGATACTGTAAAATCTCCATTCCCATCCCACTCCAGGGGAAGGTTACTGCAAAATCCCCATTTCTTCCCGATCAGCTGGGACTCGGGAGGCAGAGAATAGATGGGGGCGGGGCCAGTCAGAGGTGGTATTTACCGGTTCTCCGAACTACTCAAAATTTCCGCTACCGGTTCTCTAGAACTGGTCAGAACCTGCTGAAACCCACCTCTGATTCTCACGTAACCATTGTAACAAGGACTCACCACAATGTTCTTACAGCTCGCATCAAGTGGAAACAATCTCTTCATCAATTCCTTATTTTCATAAAGGCATTTTAACTCAAACGCCTGCTGCCTCATGCTGGTATCCAAAGATGCGCTGAATTCCAAGAGAAATTTCTCCACCGTCTTTGAACCGGTTGTACGTGAAGCTGTTTTAGAAATTGCAGCCATGAGCCAAACCTTGGTTTCACAAGTGGCGTTGCTTTTAAGGATCCGATACAAGCTTGCTAAAACAACTTCAGGGTCCACGTTTTGCAGGAGGTAACTGTACTCCCCCAATACCTGCCAGGAGAAAATTAGAACATCAGGGTTAGTCAATAGTTGTTGTGGCTCCGTTACCTGAGCCTGTGTCATCGGCAGGAGAGGACTCCGAGAGTGAAGGAGAGGAGTTGGCAAGGCCTCCCTCTCCAGGACCCTCCTCTCTGGCAATGCCTTCGGTGTCTGCCAAAGGGCAAGAGATAGGGCCGGGGCCAAGCACGTCCACGCAGCCACAGGTGGACAGTGATGAGGGTAATGAGTCTTGGCTGGATCCTCGGCAGCGTCGCAGAGATAAGCGCGCGCAACAGAAGAAAAGGCGTCACTGGACCACACCCCACAGGGTATAAAAGGGGGTGAGGTGGCCATTCAGACTCTGTGACGGACAAAACTAACTACTATCAAGTCACATTGCATCTTCGGAAACAACATTATCGGCCTTGGGTTTATTTTACGAACTGAACAATTCTTGACTGTGGGTATTTTGTTTATTGAGTAAAAGTTCTTGGCAAGCAGCCAAGAACTTGGTTGCTGCCAAGCGTCTTATCGGAAGAATTGGTTGTCTGCCAGTTTATTTAACCCCCGGCTGTCTGTTTGTGTGTGTGTGTGGGACGGGGACAGAACAATAGTGGAAAGTCATTTTTACAGCACAGCGTTCTAATCATCATCTTTTTAATGACCCCATAATCCCTTGCGGGGTGGAGTCTGGGCAACTGAATGGAGCTGAGTGTTTACTGGCCGGATGCCCTTCCTGTCACCAATGCGGAACTATATTCAGCAGATATATTCTCAGTGGTGGGTTGCAACCGGTACACGGCAGTTTGGGCGAACAGGTAGCGCCAACGATCATCTAGTAGTGAACTGGTTGCACCCGACATTCAGATTGGCCCATCCACCCGGGCTCCTTTTTTACCTTTATCTTCTCAGCTGATTAGCGCGGCAGAGTGGGTTGCCGCGCGAATCAGCTGTGCTCTCCCCACTAGAAACACAGAAGTGGAAAGTTATGGCAAACTGCGCGCACGCGCACGAAGCACATGATCAGCGAACCAGTAGTAAAACCGGGAGGAACCCACCCTGTATATTCTCAACATGCCCAGAGAGAGAAATATCTGCCTCTACCTAGGATCAAACTCACAGCCTCCTGATTGCGAGGCGAGAGCTCCACCTCTAGGCCACCGCACCACTCCTAGCACAGCGTTCGAATAAGATTGTAAATTGTAATTTGGAACTTCTCTAGTTTAAGAAACTGCTGACAAAATTCATTTTCTATTACGTGAAATAGAAATATTCGGCCAAGAATATTTGTCTTAAAAAAAATAAACATGGCTAATCTTTTTTTCTTACCCAACTCATCACTTGAATAAATTTCTGCGGATAAACTGCATTTTTTTTTTATTGAAAAAGTTTTCAAATATAATTTTTTCCCCACATTTTTCTCCCCCCTCCTCCCTAACCCCCCCTCACCACCCATCCCCCCCGTAACTTCTTCACAACAAAAACCTAGTTCATAACAGATTATATAATATTTTACCATCCCCTTACTCCCTCCTCTAAATACTGACCCTTACTTACTAATATTATTAATATTATTACTTCCCCCTTTTCCCATACATTTCAAAATATCATTCTACTATAACATTGCATAATAACTTCTAATTTAACATAATAATATTATTATAACTCCCAATTTAACAGTAATCTGCCCTTTTACTCCTCCTCCATACTTATATCTGTATATTAATACAACATTTCATAACAACCTTCCACTTTAAAACTATATAATAAGTCCTGCTTTAACATTTAATCTTTTGTGTATATTAATATAACATTTCAAAGCAGCCTTCCCCATAAATCATAATTTAGCATTTATTCAGCTCCATCCGTTTGCTCCACTCCCATAAATATATCACTTAAGCATCCCTTTTCTTAAACTAAACAATCAGTAAACTAACCTATCTCCACCCACTTTCCTACAAAATTGCCGTACACAACAATTCTTAATATCTTTAATCTACTGCCCGCCCTACTAAAAAAAAATATATTCTAATCTTTTTTTCTTACCCAACTCATCACTTGAATAAATTTCTGCGGATAAATTGCATTTTTGTCCTCTAATAACGACAGGTAAGATTGGACGGCGTGAAACCGCAGCTGAATGTCTTCCTTCTCGTCTTCAAAGCCTAAGAAAAACAGGGTTTTTTATTTTTTTTATTGTTTTTTTTAAATTTTTAATTATTACTTTTCAATAACAGGGTTGGATTTATTCTCACCCTACGGTTTGCTCACCTTCAGCAAGAAGTCGCAAGAAACCGTTCAGTATGTCAGGATGCATTTTATCTCCTCCTACCGAAAACACGGCATTCATAGTCCGAATGAACCATTCGTTGTTTGGCGCATATGTGCCAGGGACATTAAGGAAAGGACACAATAGATCCATCCAGGTAGCATTAAGTGTTCACAACAACAATTTATTATTACAGTCTTAGACCAGAACAAATAAAAGCACTCAGTAAACCGTGTTTCCCCCAAAATAAGACCGTCTTATATTTTTTTGAACCCTGAAATAAGCGCTTATTTTCGGGAGGTCTTATTATTTTGGGGCACATGGAGCAAGACAGGGCTCCTCTTGCCATCTTACCTGATTTCCAGCTCTGTCTCCCTAACCCTAACCAGAGGAAACGGTGGGGACTGGCTGTACATTCGTTTAAATATTTTTGGGAAGGGCTTATTTTAGCGCATGCGCTCAACAGCCCGATTGGTCTTATTATTAGGGGATGTCTTATTTTAGGGGAAACAGGGTATATTCACTTAAAACTTCTAGTATAAAATAATAAATAACAACTAAAATCTATAATAAAATCTAGTGTCAATTATATTTATTATATTATATTATATTAGTTCTATTTATATGCCGCCCTTCTCCGGAGACTCAGGGCGGCTTACAATGCGTTAAGCAATAGCCTTCATACTTTTGTATGTACCTGCTTAGTAGGGCTTTCGGCCCCCCCTAAGTGGTGTTCTTTTTTATACAAAGTCAGCTTATTGCCCCCACAATCCGGGTCCTCATTTTACCTACCTCGAAAGGATGGAAGGCTGAGTCAACCTTGAGCCTGGTGAGATTTGAACTTGCAGTAATTGCAGGCAGCTGGCAGCTAAGTGCTAATTTAACAGCACTTTAGTCCACTGCGCCACCAGGCTCCTACGGTCTGACTATCAGGAGCACCTGATAGGAGCAGGCACACGCAGCAAGCAAAAGGATATTTTTCAGCTAATTCTGCTATTTTCCCAGCAATGTTGATGATGGTATATTCCTCTTTGCTCTGATTTATGTAGTCAAGCATCTTCTGTACAATGACGGTGACATTTTGTTCATTGGTTATTCGATACAGAAGTTCCAAGGTCTGAAGGAGAAAGCAAGAGTGGGTGAATTTGACTCAAAGTGAAACAGAGGGAAAGGTGGATAAAAAAATAATAATAAGCTACATTCACTTTAAGGACCAGTTAGTGCAGGAGTCAGCAACCTGAGGCTCTGGAGCCGCGTGTGGCTCTTTCACCCCTCTGCTGCGGCTCCGTCACTCAAAATATGCGTCACAACCACCAATGTGCAACACCCGCTGGCACGCAATTTATTGAGCTTTTCAACCCCCGATAGGCCAACCATGGATAAATCCAAGAAAAGAAAAGTTTCAGAAGAAAACAGAACATTTAATTGAACTACATATGCTAGTTTTGTGGCCGCTCAAGAAATAGTCAAGCACGGGTAGGGTTTTGTGGCTCCCGGTGTTTTCTTTTCTGTAGGAAACAGGTCCAAATGGCTCTTTTGAGTGTTTAAGGTTGCAGAACCCCGAGTTAGTGGAATAATCAAAGAAATGCAATTATTTATTGATTACATTGCTAACAGTGCATAACTCCCTAACAATAATCATAACTTGATTTTTATTACCTCTCTTTTAATAATGGGATCAGGATGTTCCAGACACTCAATTATTGTCATTTGGTGTTGCAGAGCAAGGTTGGGATCTTGCTGGATGACATACGTTAAAGCTTTTAATCCTAAAGGGGGAAAAAAACTAGAAAGTTGGAAAAAATGAAACTGTAGGCATTCGGCATTTATTCTGCTCGGTTGAAGGAAAAAAACAAAAAACAAAACGAGAGAACTTACCCAAATATTTCAAATTAATTTTAGGGGACAAGACAAATTTCCCAATACATTTGGCGGCCTTCTCAAGCAGATCAGGTTTGGGGTGAATGGCGTAAATGGTGTGGACGCATTCAAACAGGATTGCTGCAGAAAAGGCAAAGAGAACATGGGAGATCTGATCAGTGGTGAAATTCAAATTTTTTTTACTACCGGTTCTGTGGGTGTGGCTTGGTGGGCGTGGCTTGGTGGGCATGGTGTGGCTTGGTGGGCATGGCTTGGTGGGCGTGGCAGGGGAAGGATACTGCGAAATCTTCATTCCCTTCCCACTCCGGGGGAAGGATACTGCAAAATCCTCATTCCCACCCCACTCCTGGGGGAAGAATACTGCAAAAACTCCATTCTCTCCCCAGTCCTGGAGGAAGGATATTGCAAAATCTCCATTCCCTCCCCACTCCGGGGGAAGGATACTGCAAAATCCCCATTCCCTTCTCACTCCGGGTGAAGAATACTGCAAAATCCCCATTCCCTTCCCACTCCTGGGGGAAGGATACTGCAAAAACTCCATTCCCTCCCCACTCCTGGGGGAAGCATACTGCAAAATCCCCATTCCCTCCCCACTCCTGGAGGAAGGATACTGCAAAATCCCCAAGCCACGCCCACCAAGCCACACCATGCCCACCAAGCCACACCCACAGAACCAGTAGTAAAAAAAATTGAATTTCACCACTGCATTAAACAACCTTAATTCACCTACCGTAAGTAATGTTGTGATTGATTTCTGCTCTCCGTAAAGATTCATCTAAAACGTCGTACATTAATTCACTGGTCCTGACAAAGGAGAAGGAAAATGTTCAGTATCACTTTTTTTTAAAAAAAAAAAAGAAAGGAAGAATCTTTGTTATTCCACAGCTCTTTATCAGACTTAAACGGAATGATTTAACAGTAGAACGGTTGCTTTCGTGGTGTGGAGACAATAACTTGGTCCTTAACACCAATAAGACCAAGGAGTGGACTCTAGAAGGAATAGATCAGACATCCAGCCCTGGCTTATTAATGGAGACCGAGTGGAGCAAGTGGCCAGTTTTAAGTTTCTGGGTGTTATCCTAAAAAAGGACCTGACCTGGGACGCTCACACTGCAGCCCTGGTCAAAAGGGCCCAGCAGAGATTATACTACCTGAGACTTCTCAGGAAACAACAACTGAATGAGAAACTGCTGGTGACCTTTTACCGCTGCACCCTAGAGAGTATTTTCATTTACTGCACCTGTGTATGGTTTGCACAGTGGTGGATAGGACAGCGCTCCAGAGGGTCAACGTCATTGCCCAGAGGATCATGAGTTGCCCTCTCCCCTCCTTGGAAGAGCTTTATAACTCCCGCTGCCTTAAGAAAGTTCAAAACATTCTTAAAGATCCATCTCATCCTGGGCATCTTTTTTTTTTTTTTTGAACTATTACCATCTGGCAGACGGTACAGGATAATAAAAACAAGGACAAATAGGCTGAAAAACAGCTTCTATCCCAGGGCAATAACCATATTGAATTCTACGGTATAGTGCAATATCGGGTTTTCAATTTCAATTATATAGAATGTAAAGGACGTATGTTTGTGTTTTTATTTTTATGGTTATAATGTACACTGAAGACGGCATTTAATTTCGTTGTATCATGTGCAATGATAATAAACTATAAACAATTCAAAACTCTGAACAATTATTTAGCGCGCACAGTATTCGTATCTGCCAACCGTATTGCAAATAACACATTTTCTCTCCCGCTTTCCATATCTTAAGTTGTGAGAATTTTACCTTGGGTCATCTTTTCCGAGTAGCCGCAATATTCTTAAAAGCTGGATTTGCAACCAAGGCGCTGGAGTGTTGTGATAGTTATAATCCACGGGGAGTTTCCCCCCGACCACCTGCTTCAGAATTGTTACAAAGCTGCTTGTCAAATCCTTATATTCCGAGGAATCTTCCTAGACAAAAAATACAAGGCACACAATTAAGACTGAATTGACAAGTCAAGAATTAATGGTATTTCATCGCCATTTGCCCTGCAGTTCATTAGCGTGTGAAAGCTAATGTTTTAACATTTTTTCAGACCTGAAGGCAACTGACAGTTAAACACAGAACATGGAACAATCCACACTGTGATCAGCAAGTACGAAATCTGCTTAAAATGATACATATCTCTAAGGGTATGTCTAGTTTAATGAAAAGAAGGACTAGGGGAGACATGATAGCAGTGTTCCAATATCTCAGGGGTTGCCACAATGAAGAGGGAGTCAAGCTATTCTCCAAAGCACCTGAGGGTAGGACAAGAAGCAATGGGTGGAAACTAATCAAGGAGAGAAGCAACTTGGAACTAAGGAGGAATTTCCTGATAGTTAGAACAATTAACTAGTGGAACAACTTGCCTCCAGAAGTTGTGAATGCTCCAACACTGGAAGTTTTTAAGAAGATGTTGGATAACCATTTGTCTGAAGTGGTGTAGGTTTTCCTGCCTAAGCAGGGGGTTGGACTAGATGACCTCCAGGGTCCCTTCCAACTAAGGGGGTCTACATCAGTGGTAGGGAGTCTACATTGCCCTTAAATATCATCTAGAGAATCCGCTTTTTAAAAGAAGCGAATGTCATTTTTAAAAAGGATTGAAATTTCACAGAGCTGTCAAACCTTGCAAGAATTCAGCAATATTACTCAATATTTAATTAGATATTAAGGATAAGATTGCGAGAATATTTTAAGACTCCAATTGTTTCTCTCTTGCCCACCGTATCTTAATTTTATTTTGGCGGAACATGTTCCATTGCATCAAGCTCCTTTTTCATTGAAGAGAACACTGGACCTTATAATACTAGTTGACACCGAGATATAATATCAGTAAGTGGACAAAGCAATTACTGAGACTGTAGAGTTAGGAGAAGGAACTATAAAAAACATTGAATTAGCAGTGCGAAAAAGGATTGGACACTCCGAGCTAAATGCCCAAATCCCTACGATCTGTTATTAAAAATAATGAAAAGAAAAAAGAAAAGCTACTAAAAGCGTTACAGATAAATATTATTTTCCAACTTTCCTTTGTTGTTCTCTGACTCACATACAGTATTTATAGGCGCGTAAAATGTGTTTTGATTTCGATCTTCAGTCAGTTCCCTTTCCCCTTAAAAACCATACTCTAAATATTTATATTTTCCTCGTTGAATCGTTTCTAGTACGGATGGGAGCCGTTCTTGTTTACATTCTGCCATGGAATATGTGCTGTTAACATTAACACCCTAAGGTGCTTAAGAATCCCACCTTCACCATCTGCAGATAGATGTGCAAGGAAGCTGCCATCACACCCACATCTCTATCACAAAGCGCCCTCCGGAATTTGTCGTGAATGTGCTGGACTTGATTAGGAGCAATTAAGTAGAACTTGTAGAGTGCCTGGACGGCTTTTCTCCGAATAATTTCCCTAAAAAAAAAAAATCAGATTGAGTTGAGATGAGCTCTTACATCCAGGTTGACCCTGACCTCTGCGTTTACAGAAGCTTCCTAAGATCTCACAAGCTTCATACATACTGTCACCTGCCACCCTATGCTGGCTTGTGCTTCACTGCGGTGACAGATTTCCATGAACTGGGGGGTGGGTGGGTTGGTAAATGAAGGGGAGATTGTGGGGAAACTAAAGTAAATGCTGTATCTCCTCAAGACGCTACCTCAAGGTCACCCAACTGGGAGAAAAAAAGGACTAAATTGCACTTGAACTTACCATTAGGAAAACATATTGCCTGAATTGGATTGGTTACAATGGAGGGAGCAATGACAGTTAAGGAAGGGAAGAGTAGAACTTGGGGATTTTGGCACGCGATTGTCAGTTCTGGCTTTGCACTACTGCAATACGCTCGATTTCTAATCAACTAAACCAGAGATCTTCAAACTTGGCAGCTTTAAGACTTGTGGACTTCAACTCCCAGAATTCTCCAGCCAGCTATCCTATGCTGGCTGGAGAATTCTGGGAGTTGAAGTCCACAAGTCTTAAAGCTGCCAAGTTTGAAGACCTCTGAACTAGACCTTTCTCACCGTTGGGAGAAATGGAGCCAAGCTGTGGCACGTACTTTGAATGCTGGAGTTTGTCTTCTATGAGTGGAAGGACAGCAGGAATCATTTCTTGGGGGAAAAGCTGGCTGGCTGCTGTGAGGGCCATGCAGACCTCCATGAGATTCGTACTCTGTAAATCCTGCCACAAAGAATAAAAGAAATATATTAAATGGGTTAACTACAGGTAGTCCTTGACTTACCACCATCACTAAGTCTGAAAATTTCTGTGGCTAAGACATGCGTTAAGTGAGTTTCGCCCCATTGTACGACCTTTCTTGCTGCCTGCGAGCCCCCAGTAATTGGGGGGGGAGGTCTTCTTTTCAGTTCTATCCTCCAGGCAACTTGCTGAGCAACCCACCCATCCATATCTCCTGTCCTTTCCTTCTCCATTTTCCACCGAGCCGTGGTGGTGCAGTGGTTAGATTGCAGTACTGCAGGCTCCTTCTGCTGCCTGCCGGCTGCCTGCAATTTGGCAGTTTGAATCTCACCAGGCTCAAGGTTGACTCAGCCTTCCATCCTTCTGAGGTCGGTAAAATGAGGACCCAGATTGTTGGGGGCAATTATGCTGACTCTGTAAACTGCTTAAAGAGGGCTAAGTCTAAGTGCTATTGCTATTGCTATTTTCACATCTCTGTTCTATCCCCGTCCTCACTCAGACAAATGCAATATCCAACACACCTGCCAATAATGTATTGTATAAACAGACCAGAATTCCTGGCAGACGAGAGTTCTGGCAGCTACCTGTAAAACGCCTGTCAAATCCAATTAGCACTCCCAAAAAGCAGGAGAGGCCTTATCTGCAGTCCGTTTCCAGAGCGACAAATTATCCACCAGACTTTAGTCCAAAATATATCTGAGCCGAAGTGCAGGATTCACGATGTGACTCTTTAGAGTTTAAACGTTTGTCCGTCACAAAGCCTGCCGAGCAATCACCCCTCCTTTTATCCCTTGTGGGGCGTGGCTCAAGTGACTCAGCTCAATCCATGGTCCTCCCACGCCTCTTCCTTTGCTGCGCACGCTTCTCCCTCCAACGCTGCCTGGGATCAAGCCAGGATTCATCAGTATCACTCTCTATCAATGGGTGCTCCGAAATGCCTTCTTCCTGGCACATCCCAGGCTGTTCCTCCTGGCCTTCGGATGGAACCTGAGGCATTGCCAGAGAGGAAGGTCCTGGAGAGGGAGGCCTTGTCAGTTCCTCCCCATCACCTTCTGAGTCCTCTTCCTCTGTTAGGACAAGCTCGGGAGTTGCAGTCACAACACATCTCCCTCCACACTTCCCTCATTTCTCTTGTGCTTTATTTTCCCCCACAAGTGCACAACATCGTGCATCACTCAAATCATCCACTAAACCTCTCTACACTTTCTCTGGCTGGATAAATGTCAACCACCAGACATGAAGCAGAAAGATAAACAGACATTATCTTGTTATGATAGCAGTACGGACAGTTTATATGGGCGAAACAATCTAAACTTATGTTTACAAGAAAGCAGTGAAGTGATCAAAGAAAGTTTATATTCAAGCCATACTGTTGTTGCCTTCTTGTAAGTAAAAAAAAAAAAAAAATAGCCTTCAGTAGATCCCGCTACCAATGAAAGGGCAGATTTTAAAGGTATTAAGCATAATTTTTGTGCGCAGATGTGTCTCTTGACAAGCTCTTGTTGCTATGATTCACACAAATCATTAACTCGTAGTTAGGTAGAAAGGAACCTCGGCAGATTTATTTATTTATTGCTTTATTGGTTCGATTTATATGCCGCCCTTCTCCGGAGACTCAGGGCGGCTTACAATGCGTTAAGCAATAGCCTTCATACTTTTGTATATACCTGCTTAGTAGGGCTTTCGCCCCCCCCCCAGCGGTGTTCTTTTTTATACAAAGTCAGCTTATTGCCCCCACAATCCAGGTCCTCATTTTACCTACCTCGGAAGGATGGAAGGCTGAGTCCAACTTGAGCCTGGTGAGATTTGAACTTGCAGTAATTGCAGGCAGCTGGTGTTACTTAACAGCGCTTTAGTCTGCTGCGCCACCAAGGCTCTTAAAATATTCTTTCTTTCTCCTCTATAGGCAAGCATTTAACAAGCATTCTGCTTTCCCTTAAGCCTAGCTGACCATGTCAGCTCAAAAAAAAAATCATGGTTTAAATAAAGCATGCTCTGCGAAACCATACCTTCACCACCGTGTTCACCAGCAGAACCAGCAACTCATGATTTTCATGCAGAAATAAAGAAATTGCCAAATAACCTAAGAAAAAGGGGGGGAAATGTTCTGCATTAGGACACCAAATACTTTCCACCTCTCTCTGTTCTACAAGTTTAGATCAACTTATAGCAAGAATGTCATACGTCTCTCCACGAGGCTCACCGACTGAATACTCTAAAGGTTTGGTAGATAGCGGGCCAAAAGCAATTTTTTGCCAACATAAAGAATATACAAGGTGTTGTGATTTATGGATTTGAAGATTTAAGAAATACATTAATTCGTGAAAATACCTACCAACTCTTTTCTCAAAAAGATTCCCTTGCTGTGCCAGCTTAATGGCATGGATGTATCCAAAAGAGGCCTCGTAGCCCAGCATCTCGCAATAGATCATCCTCACCATACATTCCTTCATCAATTTCTGAAGAGCAGAAAATGTTATGAAATGTCTTTTAAAAACAATAGGGTATTGCTGCCTTTATTGGTTCATTTATGTCCCACCTCAATCAAATCTTTATTACGGTCATAAATCAGCATAAGGAGAGTGGGATATAAACAATAATTGTTTAAAAGCTAAATGATATCAAAACAAAAGTTATACAAGGTTAAAAAGCATAGAAATACATACATACATATCAGTGGTGGGTTTCAATTTTTTTTACTACCGGTTCTGTGGGCATGGCTTGGTGGGCATGGCAGGGGTGGCAGGGGAAGGATACTGTAAAATCTCCATTCCCACCCCACTCCAGGGGAAGGTTACTGCAAAATCCCCATTTCCTCCCAATCAGCTGGGACTCGGGAGGCAGAGAATAGATGGGGGCGGGGCCAGTCAGAATTTTTACTACCGGTTCTCCGAACTACTCAAAATTTCCGCTACCGGTTCTCCAGAATTGGTCAGAACCTGCTGAAACCCACCTCTGATACATATATACGTGTGTGTATGTAGATAGATAGATAGGTTAGAAAAAGTTAAAATCTCGGGTGTTTTCCCGTGTCATTATAAGTTTGTTAGTTAAAATGTTTTAAATCCTGGCTAAGATCCCAGCTCAGAGTCCTCTAAATTCCCAAACAAAAACCCTTTGTAAGGTCTTTCAAAAAAGACAGTTGGTAATAGGGAGCCAGAGAAAACTGGACCGTTAACACGCATTCAGGCTGCAGCTAGGATAATGAAGCATGACCCACAGCTTCTAAACTGATAATAAAGGCCCGAAGATGACAAGGTAGGGAGCTTGTCGAAACGTTGCCTAACCTTTAAAGTGTTGGTTAGGATTTCAGCCAGAGTTTTTGAAAGACCTTACAAAGGGTTTTTGTTTGGGAATTTAAAGGATTCTGAGCTGGGATCTTAGCCAGGATTTTAAACATTTTAACTAACAAACTTATAATGACGCGGGAAAACACCCGAGATTTTAACTTTTTACATACACATACCCGCGAAAACTTAAGAAGATAGATAGATAGCTATAGAGAGAGAGATTGATTGTATAGATACATATATATTGTTTGTGTATGTGTGCGTATAAGAGTCTAAAAAGAATGTAAAGGCTAAAATGGAAATGGCATTAAATGGAAAAAAATGAGTATGATCTAGTACTTGTAAAACTTACAGCAGCTTTACAACTATCAGCACTGGCCAGAGGAGACAGGACAATAGATTTTACATTTTATTTTGTCTTTAAGACCTACCAGATTTGTAGTTGGTGCGGAAACAGTGGCTTTTAAATTATTTAATTCCTGGTGGATAAGTTTTTCTTCTTCCTAGCAGTGTATAAAATCGAAAAATGGAAATAAGCTAAAAACTATTTCTATAACAGCACTTCGTGACTGACATTATTTTCACTCGGCAAATTTCGTGGCCTTAAAAAAGTAATTAGGAAAAAAGACTGAATGACCATAACTCACACACAAACCCCACTTTAATTCAGGGTGGGAGGATGGGGAAATGGGGAAAACAAGATGGAACAGATACAAGTACTCCCTCTACAGTAATCATCGTTCCTATTACCCACCTCCTCCCACTTACGACTGCATGACTGTAACTTTGTAGCTTGTATCAATATCAATATACGATTTATATTGATATTGCTTTCTGATTGCTTATTTTGCTTATTGCTGATTGCTTACCCTATGACTAGGGAACTGCCGACCTTTGTGATCGACAAGCTCAGTGTCTTAGCCACTGAGTCACCGTGTCCCTGTATTTTTTTATTCCTATTCCTATTATTAGTTGTATTATTAATCCTATTAGTAGTCCTATTTCTTCTTCCTCTTCCTCTTAATGATAAAGTGTTGTACCTTATGATTCTTGATGAGTGTATCTTTTCTTTTATGTACACTGAGAGCGTATGCACCAAGACAAATTCCTTGTGCGTCCAATCACACTTGGCCAATAAAGAATTCTATTCTTTCTATTCTTTCTATTCTATTCTATTCTATTCTATTTTTATTCTAAAGGTTCCCCTCACATATATGCGCTAGTCGTTCAGCACTGTCTGAAGACGTCTCCGTGGTCATGTGGTCGGCATGACTCAATGCTGACAACGCACGGAACGCTGTTCCCTTCCCACCAAAGGTGGTCCCTATTTTTCTACTTGCATTTTTTACCTGCTTTCGAACTGCTAGGTTGGCAGAAGCTGGGACAAGTAACGGGAGCTCACTCCGTTACGCAGCACTAGGGATTCGAACCGCTGAACTGCCGACCTTTTGATCAACAAGCTCAGCGTCTTAGCCACTGAGCCACTGCATCCCTGTATTTTTTTTTATTCTGTTTCTCTTTCTTTCCTTCTTCTTCTTCTTCTTCTTCTTCTTCTTCTTCTTCTTCTTCTTCTTCTTCTTCTTCTTCTTCTTCTTCTCCTCCTCCTCCTCCTCCTCCTCCTCCTCCTCCTCCTCCTCCTTTTTTTTTTTCCTTGCTCTTGTTCTGGTCCTCCTCTTCTCTCTTTCCCCCTCCCATTTTTTGGGGAATAGGTCTTCTTCTTCTTCGTCGTCTCCTCCTCCTCCTCCTCCTCTCCTTCTCCTTCCTCCCCTCTCTTCTTCTTCTCCTCTCCTTATTCTATTCTATTCTATTCTATTCTATTCTATTCTATTCTATTCTATTCTATTCTATTCTATTCTA